GCTTTTACCCCGGCCGCCTGCCTTACAAGGCTCGAAAGTAAAAATAAAAAGAATTACGACGCGAGCGAGGCTTCTGAGGGTGAGGAGGGATGATTCCACTTCTCTCCAACTACTACTGCGGCACTCCCGAGGCGGGTCCAGTCCTCCTTCACCACGCACCTCCTGCGGGGGACGAAAAACTGATCCCCAGCCTCTAGCTTAGGTTTCTGGGCTGTGGAGGACGGGAGGATGGCCGCCACCACGGAGGGAGAGGTGCACCCCAAATGCAACATCAATGGGTTCTCCCCCGATGGGTTGCGCTAAGGGCCCCATCCGGCTTCCACATCTGGAAGGAAAACAAGTCTCCCCTCCTTCACGTTTTGATCGTCATAAATTAAAATGATAATTTGCCAACACCCCACCCCCGCCCCCGCCTCGGGAATGGCACGGCCACTTCTCCCAGTCTCCAGGCACCTCCAGAGAATGGCCACCCACTGCTAGAGGCACACCAGCCGGCAGCCTTTGGAGAGGATGAAAGCAGAGTCCAACAGGACACCCTGCTGGTGACATAAATAAAAATAGGATTTCGCACCACTCCCAGGTAGCTAGGCGAGCAGGTTCTGCAAAGAGAAGCCCCAGAGCCATCCTCCCACGCCCACCTGAACAGTGGACAGCTATGATGAGCGATCTGTGTGATCTGGGCTACAAACCCTCCAGCCGGGCAGTAACTTTTAACCTAACCAGACCAGGGACAGGAGGGGAGAAAGGTGAGAGAAATAAGACATGCTTCTGAGAAGTTTTTGTTTAAAAAAAATAAATAAGAAAACCTGAACAATTTGAGATTCAATCCCCCACTTAACTAACTTCAGGACTGGGTAGGTGGCAGGCAACCTTCAGCAATTAAGACTCACTGAGACTACTTGCCAGCGACTACAAGACTCAGAAGCCCAAGGTAGCCTGAGGTCATCCAGCCCCACCTCCATGTTATTGAGCACATAACGTGACTAAGCAGAAGGTACCCCGTGGCGGACATATTAGATCATCTCTGGAGTCCCACACCAGCAATTCTAAGGACCAACACTGGTAACCACAGGCAGGACAAGAAAAGGTCAGTCACCTGTGGCTCAGCTACAGCGGGCCCCAGGTCACTTGACAGTGTTTAATCTCCACCAGAGGAATCAGGTTGGAGCTGACCTTAGGGAAGTTGTACTCTTCAGGCTCATCAGCTGCTGGCCTTGCTCAGCCTCCCAACCCCTCTCACTCTAGCTAGGCATCTCTACATTTATTGGGCATAGTACATTATTTTCTCCCTGCCCTTCTTCCTATATCCAAAAAGCAGGATGGGAGCCCAAGGTGATTATGTCCAAACCATGTCATGCTTAAAATTCAGTGCCAACTGGTCGTGGCAAATGAACAAAATTTTAAACAAACAACTAGTTTAGGCTCTCAGAAGCCATCAATGGAGGGTGGAGCACAGTGAGTGAGGCAAGCTGCCTCTAATGAGCCTGTCTTGGCTTTCTTTCCTCTCCCTCTGAGGGCTTTTTTTTTTTTTTTTCCTTTTTTCTGTATCTTATATTCACAAACCTGAGTTACTTGTTTGGAGAAATTCATGAGAACCACCTGGGAAGCCACTCTTAAGTCCTAATATCCTTAGATGGTGTCCTACAACCTCTAATTCAGGCAGGAGACAAAAGGCACAACGAGAAGATTTATCAAGTTATGACTTATTTGCAGAGGAGACAGTTTCTCTGTGTAGCTCTGGTTGTCCTGGAACTCACTCTGTAGACCAGGCTGACCTCAAACTCACAGAGATCCACCTGTCTCTGCCTCCCAAGTGCTGGGATTAAAGGTGTGGACTACCATCGCCCAGCAAATTTTATTTATTTATGTATGTTTTATATAAATTGAGTGCTCTGTCTGCATGTGTGCCTGCATGCCAGAAGAGGCAATCAGATCCCATTATAGATGGTTGTGAGTCACTCTGTGGTTGTTGGGAATTGAACTCAGGACCTCTGGAAGAGCAGCCAGTGCCCTTAACCTCTGAGCCATCTCTCCAGCCCCATAACCTGATTTGTTAATTTCTCTTTTCCATTACAGATGTGCTAAGAGATGTCAGGTGGCACTGTTCAAAAGAGAGTGGTGCAGGGGCCACACAGGTCTGCCTGCTGTTGATGGAAAATGGACCCAACCAGACCTTTGTTGTAAGCCAGAGAGAACTTAGTGTGCCCTGTTCCAACTAAGATTCCACAGAACCCTGGCTCTGGGATATGTATCCTTGACATTAGTATGCAGGGGCCAAATTCCTTTAGGAATAGCCTCATGCTCAATTTTCCTCATGTGTTTTCCAAATATACCCAGATATCTTGGGTGCCAAGAAATCTCAGGCAGGCCAGATAATTTAAACTATTGTTTCATATAGCTACTTGACAGCAGAATCCTATCAATGACCTAGAACTCACTTAGGAAAACATTTATTTTCTGAATGGGGGCTTGACAGGACCTCGCCCGAACCTCTCCTGAACATGAGCTGGTGAACCAGAAGACCTGTATTCTAGAACAGCCAGTCCCAGTCAGTATGGACCTCAGTTCCTCCTTCATAGTTCTTAACAGAATAGCTGTCAGTCTCCCTCAAAGCAGGACAACTAAGCAGATACAAGGGACACCTTGCTGTAGGTTGCAAAGACCTGAGGCAGCCTGGAAAGACGGCCCTCTGTTCCAGGGTACGTGCAACTGATTCTAGTAAAAAGCACATATGAGAGGGAGCCGAGGGCGGGCAGGCAGTGCAGCCTGCTACATGGAAGAGGACGGGGCGAGCCAACAGGTAATTTCTCTTTCTTCTCCCTCCCTCTGGTACAAGGTATTTCTTGTTTGTCTTCAGTACATTTACTCCCTGCAAGTTGCCTTGCTTAAGGTCACACACAGCTGCCCAGCGATAGTCCTTGAAGCCTTGTGGTTTCTAGCACCTACCACCAGCAGACCATCCAAAAATTCTGTTATCCAGTCTAAATTCCCAGAGAAATAATCTGAGTCATTCATTCCTCTGCACCGCTCCCCCCAGGAGAGGCAAAACATGTGGTAGACTACCTGATACAACAGGCTTGGGGAGAGGAGGGCAGGTAACTTTGTAAGAGGAGCTCTAATAAATAAGGCTGGAGTTTGACCTGCCAAGATGGAGAAGGAGTGCCCTAAACCTGAGTTGTTTGCCTGGAGAAGTCCTTAAGAACTATCTGGGAAGCCACTCCTTAAAAATCCCAGGATCCTTAGAAAGATTGGGTCCTAACATATACATCAAGAAAGCCCTCATGCAAGCCTGGAGGTGGTAGTGCACGCCTATAATCCTAGCACTAGGGAGGCAGAGGTAGGCAGATCTCTGTGAGTTCGAGGCCATCCTGGTCTACAGAGTGAGTTCCAGGCCAGTCAAGGCTACAAAGAGAGACCCTGTCTAGAAAAATCGGAAAAGAAAACACCCCCCATGGAATGATTGCACAGACAAGTGGACAACCTCTACTCCAGGTAGGGAGTTGTAAAAGGTGCAAACAGATTTATGGAGTATGACTTGATTGTATTCAAAATGCTCTTGTTTGTTGAACAAATATTTACCGAGCACTGGGTTAGGTGCCAGGGGGCCAAAGTCTTGTTCCTACAGGGTTTATATATTTGGAAAAGGTGTGGAAGCATCTTAACAAAACTCATGGAATACCAGTGGGTTTCTTTCACACTCTGTCCTCAGAGCAAGGGACAGGCATAGGGATTGTACAACCCAGAAGATGCATTATCAGAGAAATGGCATGTCAAAGATGAATGGGATGTTGAATACAGCATGACTTTTTGGAGGAGGAAGAAGAAAAGAGAAGAGCTCAGAAATCAGTGACC